AATATTGAAAAATTGCACATGATTAATTGCACATTCAAAATCTATTTTTTAGGAATAGATTTCATTAAGGGGAAAAACCTTTACCTTCATCATTTTAGTTGTAGGAAGTCACCGAAAAAAATTATTTTTTTCAGTTTTAAAACAATTAGAGTTTTAACGAACATGAGACCTGCATCATTCTCTTAAACGTTCTTTACACCTTCCAACAACAAAATTTAATAAAAATCTATGCCGCCATTTTTTTGAATATTTTGAAAATGTTCAAGGGTCTTCATGTAAAATAAGCCCAAAATTAAAATATAGGTTTTAAATTCAATAGTCCGCGACATCATCAAGATCGATTGAGGAGTATCAATATTGGAAAAATGGACGGACAGACATTTCACAGATGGACGGACAGACATTTTGCCGTAATTCGATTTTTCGGTATCGAAGACCCATAAAACATGATTTCTGGCTGCATCACGTATTAGAGGATTTTTCTAAATTTAGCAAATGGATTTACCCACTTTCTCTGTAATAAAGAGTTTTTCAGCCGAAAATTCGCCGTTTTTTCACTCAGCATAACGTAACATTCTCTCTACTGCTTAAGCGGTAGCGAGAAAGTAAATGGTGTTTTTGAGAGTCAATTTTAGGTAAGTATTTTGATTTGAATGTGTAATGCTTTAATTCGTCTCTGTAGGGATATCTTAGTAAGCACAATCCACTCTTTCTGTCAAGAGGAATCTTACCTAATTTTCTATTTACATTTTATCTTTAAGACGCTCTTCTTCCATTTTGTATAATTGACACTTTCCTAATTTTTTCTCATACCATCCTTTTATATCATTCAAGGGAGCGACTGTAGATACCCACGTATGAATCGTGTTTAATACTCTACCCACGTAACTCTGAATTACACGGTCAGAGGCAACGTGTCGGAACAACTTTAATTTTGACTTTCTCGCTCTTACTTTGTAAGAAGAGAAAGTATTATAATCATGCGACTGAAAACGGAAACTTTTTGACGGAAAAACTCGTATTGTCGGCTCCTGGTAACGAAAGTACCGTAGTGGTGCAACAACAGCATACTTTCTGGCATTATTTGTAAAGGCTCCGCAACATAATATTACCGCACGAAACTGCATTTCCAATCAGATCAGTGATACTTCAACTTCACGTTCTTCCTTATATTATTTATAAATTTGCAAATTTCATAAAATCAGACATTTCAACGAAAATGATATCTATGTCTTTCTTTTAAGCGTTCCTTGTTCTATCCATGGATAAAATTTAAAGAAAGAATGGGGAGCGGTTTTTGAGGCTATGCTTTTTTTATAAACAGCATTAAATTCAAGCACAAATTACGCGACAATTACTAGCTTTTTACAAAAAATTGAACAGGGTCTTTTTCAAAGAGCAATTTTTCAGAACAGGTTATGTTTAAGACATAAATCTTTATCATCAATTTTGTAGTTTTGGAATGTTAAATGTTTGCAATTTTCGCAAATACAGATTTCTTCGGAAATGAAACTAGCATAAAAACTTATACCGTCTTGTGATACGAGAAGAAAATTAAAAGAAAAAACGTGGACAGACTTTGGAGAATTGTTTTAAAAAAACACAATAAAAATTGCCTATATTTTACGCACAATAACGCGATAACTACTCATATTTTCGAAAAATAAAAATTGATTTGACTTTTTTTCTAGATGTCTTTAAATATTAGACTTTCTTAAGTAAGAATATCTATCGTCAATATTATAGTTGTAGGAAGTAGCCAAAAAAAGTGAACCTTTGCAATTTTCAAAAATTCAGGGAGTGCAACAAAAATACAACCTGTACGGTTTCTTTTGTCTTTTTTGTATAACAGAGGAAAAAATTAAAGAAAAAATTGAGCCATTTATGAAGAAATTTTGAAAATACTGAGACTTCGTGACAGGTCCCCCTCCAATTAAAAATATTCGTTTCATATTCAACGGGCCGTGACATCAGGAGATCGACAGGAGAATATCAATTTTGGTGAAAATCGTGTTTATGAGTTAGCCGCTAACATTGTTCACAGATAAATAGACGGACGGATGGACAGAGGTTTTGCCATCAATCATTTTTCGGTATCAAAGACCCACCAACCATTGATTCTGACTACATAACGTTGTCGAGGAAGTAATTTACTACATTTAGGAACAAGATGTATCCAGTTTAGCAATGCCAGAGCCCCAGAATAAGAGTTTTTCTATCGAAAAATCGTCAATATCTTCGTCAGTGTTACACTTGCCTTTACTATGTAAGTACTTAGTAAGGCGAAAGTAAAAAAAATATGTAGCTCTCTTTTAGAAAATTTCGAAAATGTCCTAAGGGCTTCAAGTAAATAACCCTCCACCTGCCTCTAATAAAACGAAAAAAATTCATGCGGCTGCGACACAAGTCAGATTCATCGGGGAATATGTATTTTAGTGAAAATCCTCTATAATGTTTACTAGCCGCTAGTGCTGTTCTCACACAGATGGACATGAAAAGCTCGACGGGGATGGATGGGATGGGTGGGGAAAGCTTACTTTTGGATATCAAGGACCCACAAAAGTTTTATTTTTAGTACATTGCGTATTCGAGAAAGCAAGTTACTCCATACACTGAGAAAACGTACAGGAGCGATGGGAAGGCAAGCTTTGGAATGGAACCCGCAGGGACAACGAGTTGCAGGAAGACCAAGGGACACACGGAGAAGTACAGTCTACAAGGAGATGTAGACTGGAAGGAAATTAAAGGAATAACGGCTAATCGAGGCAGATGGGAGTCTCTCATCGAGATCCTATACTCCCCGGAGGTGTGGTAGCGAAGAAATACACAGTTACTAAATACAGTTGCAATAAAAACTCTTTTTTGATGGCAGGAACCCACAATACATACGTTTCTGTCAATCGGCACTTTTGCGTGCATCATTACATTTGAATAGGTGAAAACATGAACGATATAAGTGACATTTTGTAAATTCTTAGAAATCTGTTTAAGTCAATATTACTGTAAAATCATGATGCTTTGTTCCATCATTAAAATCAAAGCATTTCAATTGATCAATAAAGCCAAGAAAATATATTGCCACGGAAATATAGCCTAAAATAAACACGAATTTTGACGCAAAATTACGCGAGATTTTTCATAATTTCGAAAAATTGTACATGACCTTATTTCAAAATCTATCTTTAAGTAAAGGTTCCATTAAGGGAAAAATGTCTATCTTCATCATTGTAATTGTAGCAAGACGCCGATTCAATTTTAGATTTTAGCAATTTTCGAAAAATCAGAGTTTTCAACAAAAACGAGACCGGTACCATTCTCGTTAGCGTACTTCACACTATCCAACAAAAAAACTTTAATCAAAAACGAAGTTGCCATTTATTACAAAATTCTGAAAATGTCCTAGGGGTGTCGTTTAAAGTACTCCCCCCCCATTTCAAAATATAAGTTTCAAATTCAAGGGGCGACATTAGTCGGATTGATTGGGGGATATCTATTTTAAAGAAAATATGCTGAATGGTTTTAGCCGCTACTGTTGTTCACAGACGGACGGACGACGGACAGACAGATGTTTTGCTGTCTTTTTGATTTTTCGGTATCAAGGACCCACGAAACATGAATTCTGGCTACACCACGTTCTGAGAAACTTTTTTATAATTTAGCAACTGACGTTATCCACTTCTTCGTATGGGCCCGACAACGAGAGTTTTTCTGACGAAAATTCGCCGTATTTTCGCGCAGCATTACAAAACTTTCTCTCTACTGCTTAAGCGGTTGCGAGAAAGTTAAATTAAGAAAAACTGTTGAGCTATTTCAACATTGCCAAAACACTGTGCGGTCGTATCGAATGGGGAATATTCAATTTGGAGAAATTCTGTGAGTGAATTATTTAGACGCTAGTGTTATTCGCTCAACAAGCAATGGATGAACGGACGGTCGAACCAACAGACAAACAAGTAAAAAAAATATTTTTGGGAATGAGTAGTCTAAAAAAATCGTCTGAATAGCGACGTTTTTTGCTGCAGTTAATGTCTGTCTCTATTCATTATTTTTACTTTCCCGCTACGCAGTAGAGAGAAAGTTATGAAATGCTGCGCAAAAACGGCGAATTTTCGGCAGAAAAACTCTTATTTCAGGGCCCTGATAACGAAAAAGTTAATAAATCCAGTTGCTAAATTTAGAACAAAACCCTCTAACACGTGTTGTTGCCAGAATCCATGTTTTGGGGATACTGAAAAATCGAATGACAGCAAAATGTCCGTCTGTCCGTCCGTCCATCTATAAACAACGCAAGCGGCTAAACCGTTCAGCCGATTTTCTCCAAAATTGATGACGTCGATTAAGTTATACTGTTGGATAATGTGTCGAACGTTTAAGAGAATGGCGCAGATCTCATGCTCATTAAAAACTCTGATTTTTAGGATATTGCAAAAGTTCAAAATTTGTTCGAAGCCTTCCTACAATTAAAATATTAAAGATAGATATGTTTCCCTTAATGAAAGCTGTCTTTAAAGATAGATTGTCAAATAGGGCCGTGTACAATTTTTTGAAAATGTAAGTGCTTTTCGTGCAATTTTGTGTGAAAATACGGGCGAGAACGTTCATACTGTTTTAGCACCACTAGTTTAATTTTGTTCAATTTCGTAAACATGCATATTGTTGAAAGAGTTGGCTTTTTTGGGACGGGGTACTTACTTACTTGGTTGTAAATTGCATAAATATATTTAAATCACTGTTAATTTGGACAAGAGCAGGTAAAACATAATACATCATGCGAATCATATGGATTCATTTGAAATGCTGGTTGAACTTCGCGATTCAAAAGTGGCGGGCTTGTGTTGCGAGTTTCAATTACTTTTTGTTAGAAAGAATGAGCATTGTAAAATAAATCAGAAGCTTACTTTATCAAATAATTTTGTTGTTCAATATAACGGATTTTTCAATAATTAATGTTGTTATTGTTTTGTATTTGAATGATAATATGACATTACGTAAATTCGGCGAGGCGTTGTTGGCTACACTGCAAGCACAAGGTTATGGAAATCACGATCATATGACTCGATGGTGCTCTGCTGCAAGGGGCAGGGCTGGAGGTAGAGAGCAGAAGTTGGATTGCAGCATCTCAGTGTGTAGTTAAGTAAACCGTGTGGTGAAGTCGTTATTTTGAAACAGTATGGGAGCTTCCGCGGTACCTGTTATAATTTTCACAATTCTGTGGGGTGTAGTGGGTATAGTTTTACCGTTTGTTGTGCCGAAGGGACCAAATCGAGGGTAAGATAATTTTCTCTTTTCACGTCTATTTTATGAATTCTATCATATTCATTGAGAAAAAACTCTATCATTAATGTTTATTTGCAGAATTCTTCAAGTCATCCTAATATTGACAGCATCGACTTGTTGGTTGTTGTAAGTATTTGATTTTTCCCGTTGTTGATATTGTGATGGCCATTCTGGCTATGATGATAACTATTCTGAAATGTATGTTTCAAATAATTGGCATTTTTGTGCTTCTCTTTTAGTTGGTTGTGCTGTTACATGGCCCAAATGAATCCTCTTATTGGGCCCAAATTATCTAATGGTACGGTAATGATGATTGCTGAACAATGGGTTAGTATTTGTATCTATGGATTATTTTTATACTTTTGTTCTAGTTACCTACATTTTTATTAATTTAATGAATAACTAATTGATACATTTTTACTTCTGATGTATGCCAGATTCGATTTAAATTATAAAGTTGTTTTGTGTAAATAGGCTGCTAGTTTTCAACAGCACTTCAGAAAACACTCGATTCATAAAAGGGAGGGTATACACGTGTGCTTCAATAAATTTACTTAGTTTCATGGGATTGCCACCCAGAATGTTTTAAACAAAACTTACATATTGTAAATTATGTATATTCATCATACATGTTTGTGTTTATGTATATTTTAAATTGGTTATGTTATTTTTTTTTTTCAGGGAAACAAAATCCCAGACTTAGTGAAGCCTTAAAATTTGGAAAGACTAATTTAAAGTAATGGAAAAATAAGTGTGTTGAAAGGTGTACTTTGTTTTGGTGGGGAGGTTAATGTGAGTCAATGTAAAATCAGTGAAATATTTTCTAGGAAAATATGATCCAGAAGAATGTCTTTTCGAAACTTGTCTCTGAAATATGAATCATGGGGAAAATGTCTGTAGAATCTTTAAAGTATTAATTTCATGCATGAAACCTGTGTATGCACAGAAAGAAAACTAATACACAAGACCAGCAAAAAAGATGCTCAAATTAAAGGAGTATCTTCTAAAAATGTTTGTTAGATTTGGTGTAGGAAATAAGTGTTGTATTCTTTATTGGCTGTAATTATCACAGGTTTTATTGCCTTGCTAGTTGTTGAAATCCTAAATGAATTTTGTGATGTTGGTTTATTGTGAAATTTGTATTGATTTGCAGTTGGAAACCAGAATGTACTTTTGGCCAGAAATTAAAAGGAGGAATGATAAAATTATATAAAAAACATGTTATGAATTATTTTATATGTATACTTTGTAGAGTATTTGTGAAATTTAATTATAAACTTTAATGTTAAATGCAAATCATAATGTAATTTTGAACAGATTTTTTTTTTTTTTTTGTTCTGATCTTAAGAAGAATTCACGTTGTGCTCAAAACACATTCCAGTCCATTGAGATTTTTTATTATTTTTAATGGTGTGGATTTCTTGTGTTGAATAAAATAATTAATGTATATTGGAGTTATGGGTATCTTGTAGAAAGTAGTTAGTTCCCATGCCTATATGGGAAGTCTGTATGTACTTGTATAAAAAGTAATTTTCATGTGACATTGCTAATGAAGGTGTTCAGGTATGTTCCAGTGTACTGGTAAGCATTTTTTTGTGTAATATGACAAACATAAAACACATTTTTTAGTATTAACTCTGGTAATGTATAGAGATCAGTTTTAACATTTAGAGAACTGTTATATTGTTCCTTTTAAGTTAAAAATTATATGTATTTATTTTAGCCTAGTAAATAAATGTAAATGCTTAACTATATTTCCAAAAATTGATTATATTCTGGGAAGATCAATTGAATATCTCGGAAAAAAAAGAATTTGTTCAAAAATCAAATTTGTGTGAAATGAGAAAAAAAGTTCACTTTCCTATCTCTGCAAGATGTAGGGAATTTAATATTATACAGGAATACGTTCACATAGCTTGAAACATAAAATGCAGTTGTGAGTAAATAAAACAATTTCACAAGTTACAACAAAAAAATGGAAATATGTTATAGCTTGAAAAATTGCAGATTGCATAAATATAACATTTGCTATTATGCATATATAAGCACAGCAAGGTACCAGAAACTTGCGAAAATTAAATTATATGTCGCTTATTTCACATGTTATGCACTGCATACATAAAAACAATTGGAAATTCCAATGAACACATTTCAAAGGGATTTTTAATGTTTTCTAGATTAACTCTAACCTGCAATAAACACTATTGAAATACTGAAAAGAACTGTTGGAAGCTGATCATTCATCACACGCTGTTATCTTCATTTGTTCATGACTAATGCTGTTTTTAGCAGAAACACTGGTCATATGATCTTCCTGAATCCCCTATTTTTCTTCACTCTTTTTCTTTGTCACTTTCGGCTGAATCAATATTATCCTCTAATGCATAAGTTCCCTCTTCAAAATGGTAGCAGTAACTCGCATTTTCTCAATTTTGGACTAAAGATTTTCCGTGAAGCACTTTGCCACCCAAGAGTATTAATGGATCTCCCATTCAAATGAGACTGTAAATACTAACCTTCAGTTTGAAATTTGTCTATTTCGGGTGAAAAGCATAATTATGTTCAATGTCATCCTTTTTTGAAAGAAGTGTAACTAAGTTTTATATTAATTTTTTTTATTATATAAATTTATTCCTAGAAATTGAACATTTTTTAGGTGTTCCTTTTTCTTTTCACGGGAATTCGAAATTAGTGATAATGACCTCAAAATTTGCCTGCACACTGAGTATTCTTGTCTTAAGTGTATTCCATATTTGCTTAGCTGAGGACCGCCTCAAGTAATGGATAAATATTACTGGGACCGTTGTGGCACACCCTGACAGCAAATATGGGAATCAAAATTTATTGGCAATACTGGAAGGCTATAGAATGCCAAATAAAAAATGCTCAGCTGACGTTTCAACCAGTGAATTGAACTGAAAGTGCCTGGTCATTACAAACAAACCCTTTCATAAACTCACGAGTTAGAAATATAAAGTTAATTTTATAAAGGACAATCCAAAATGAGTCATGAAATAGCAGCTGCGGAGGAACAATTTAAAGGAGTCAACCAACAAAAAGATTGGACCAGGGACATCTTGGCAATGATTTAGGGACTACTAGATCAAAAAAATTGGTCATGAAGCATATCCCTAAAGAGTTGATGAAAAAACATTGGTACATTTGCACCTTTTGCAAACTTTGATACCATGCAGATTTTTTTGTAAGAATCCAATCCCAATCATAAAAGCTGACAACATATATGTTGAACCATTTTCAAATATGCTTTGTATTCTTAAAATAAAAGTTGGCATTGATTATTACAAACATCATGTATTTATGTTAACAAGGTATAAAGCCGATAAAATGTGATGTATGGAAGATTATGCAACCATCCTCCTCTTTTAGTGATCATATATGAAACAATTATTACTTCAGTAGTGACAAATTGTTTGTAAATGACAAAGATAAGCGGTTTTGGCAAGTTTATTGTTGAAAAATGAATATCTTTCCAATTAATGTGTGCACGTCAATAAAATAGCACTATAATTGACTGATATGTTATAAAAAGTGTAGGTGGTATTTATTGTCTAATAATAAACCTTTGTATAATTACAAAAAATAAGGAAGTGTCTTCAAAGCAAATAACTATTGAATGTAATTTTTAGGTAGTGTCACCCTGTTTTATGCTTAACCTATGATAGAGCAATCTACTTGAGATTATTTTTCTGAAAGTGTTGTATTGTAAAACAGGGCAACTTTGAATATTTATATTTGTAAATGTTTCAATTGACCTTCCTCTTGATTTTGTTTTGACTAGTATACAGGTTATTTATTTTCCTATTATATTGAACCACTTCTACAACATTCCTTCTATTATAGACATTCATACTTTAAATAAACATCTTTCAAGTAATGAAACTGATCTTAAATTGTGGAATTTGTTATAATATGCTCTAGCGATGTTTTGGGTCTCAGGTTTAGCATACTAGGTCGCATTAATTTAGTTCATCCTTAAGGAAAGCTTACAAATTATTTGTGATTAGATCAGTATTGAATAAAATTGTTGTATTTCCGATATACTGATGTTGTAATAAATATTTTATTTCTCCATAACAATCACATTGATGCTATTTGCGTTTTCATCAGAAATTGTACTTTTTTCAATCTATTCTTTGTCATTGTAAAAATCAAGGGACGTTGTTGGTATTGTGAAAAATCTAAATTTTATTTCATTGGTAGCTTTAATAGGCTTGTTTTCCAATATTTAAGAGCTCTCTAAAAACTTTTCCAGTGACTTCATTGGCTCCACAAGATGATTCTGTCTAGCCAACTGTAGAAGTGAATAGCACTTGGGTGGTGACCTTGTACACCATTATTGCAAAATTATAAGAACCAAACCTGACTAGAATAAAATATCTCAGAATCAGAACTCTTTGGTAGAGACTGGTTCTGTTTCATGTCAAAAAAAAAAATTGTTTTTATAGTGTCAGGTTGATATTTTTGTATGGTGTCAGAAAACTTATTACTCAGGCCCCATATTATGTAGCATACATTGTTCTTTGCTCATTTTTGTTTCCAGGTTTGGCACCTTTGTTTCTTTTATTATTATTGTTATATTTTTTTTTCTTTCTTCCCTTAAGTATTTAGGACTCTCAAAACCTTAATTAAATGTCTTATAGAACCCTGTCTTGAATTTATATAGTGAGACTGCATATAATCCTTCTGAAATTATTTTTGAACAAAACCTATTCCACATTGTTTTTATCTTTAAGTCTGGTGAAAACTTGCTTCTATTTACTTTGCCTTTTGAACAATTACTTTCTCAGTACATATATTGTTTAAGGTGATGTATAATAGCTTCTGTAATTAATGTGCCTCCTTTTCCACTTCGGTGTCTGACTTTTCTTCACAGAATCTTTTCCCGATGCATTAAATTTCTAGCTAATCTAGTAATCCTATTAACAGATGCACCTGGAAGGCTCCTGACTTGCAGCACATGCTGGAACTAAAGCACCATTCATCTTTCTTATTTTATAGTTATGGTCTTTAGCTTTTTACTATCATCATCATCAACAACTCTGCTCTACAGACTTAGGGCTTACATGTATTTGAGAAGAAAGATATCCCAATTTGTTTGGAATTTATGCTGTATCATAGAATGAAATCCTGTAAAATATTTTATATTTTAATATAGACTAAAACTATACTTAGATTGGACTATAGAATATTAAAAATTTAAATTCAATAAAGATTTACATTGTTACTTTATCTTTAAGGGAGATTTCAGAGATAGATTGTGATTATCATGTGTCTCGATTAAGTGCTCCACAATTGGTATTTCAAGGCACTAATATCTTTATTTATTTTGTGTGTTTTCCCATGAGAAACTATTAACAGAATTAATGTGATCTTGATTTTCAGACATGGTATTTATGTATTTTATTTGCACTCAAAGTACCTTTGTATATCTCCCAAATGTAGGGAAATATAGTACATCATTTTTCATTCCAACATTGTTGATGACAATTGAACATTTAAATTAAATGCTGGAAAGTAATGGTCCCAAAAACCAGTATAATGAGAACAATTTTTACTTAAATTTTATAGCGTTTGACTAAAGAATGTTAAGTACAAAACGCATAGTCAGTGTAGCAAAACTCTTCATAAACATGAATATGTCCTTTTTTTGTAGAAATTCAGATATTTTACTGCCTTAAAACAACAATAGTTTTGCTAAAACTATGTTTTAGAAATGGCTAGGTGGATACTGAACTGATATAGTGAACAAGTGTAACTCATTTTGGTCCAAAAGTGATGTTGACGTTTAAAACTAGAGGTACTACAACAGCCCATATTTTCTCGCGTTATTAAATAGTTAAGTAATATTGAAGTATCGTAATTTCTACCTTTCTAAAAACTCAGTTATAACCGTTACAAGTTATAGTCCAAGCCAATAAAGTTAAACGAAGCGTCTGTGGTGCATATCCGCGTTAATCTCGATAGCCGTAGTAATTTCTAACTTTCACCAATGAAACAATCATTAACAAATTTAACTTATTGTATTTGCAGCGCTTTTAACGGGAAAGAAAAAAATGCTTGAAAGCTTGCCTTGAGTACATCGAAGTGAGCTAAATTTCTGAACACCATAATCAGCGATCAAATCTTATGGAAAATAAATGTATTTGTTGGTCTCTATCTATTTAGCGGTTTTTTTACGGCTTTGGCCGTTTTCCGCATCCCAATTTCCATGCCCCTTTATCCCATAGATCGTTTTCCCCCATTTCTCTTTTTTCCGTGGCTTCAGTTATTGCCATGTTCCATGTTCTTCTCGGTCTTCCCCTGTATCTTCTTTGAATTGGTATCCACTCCCCAACTTTTTGAGGAAGTCTATCCGATTTCAACCTTCTCATATGTCCATACCATTTTAGTTGTTTCAGTTCAATCGTCTCGTTCAAGGTTGTTTGCACTTTCATTTTATTTCTTATTTTATCTAACAGAGAAACTTTACATCTTCGCCTGAACATCATTTCTGTTGATTGAAGTTTGTCTTTCAAATTTTTTGTTAGTGTCCAGACTTCTGCCCCATAGAGTGTGGTACTCCCTACGAAGAAGCTATATATGCGTTTCTTCGTCTTCATTGAATTAATTGAGCTCCATAGCACTGGATTTAACTGTCTTGTGGCTATTTTTCCTCTTATTATTTTTATTTTTTACATCCTGTTCGTCTCTACCATCTGCTGTTAGTGTGACTCCCAAATACTTATATTGTGTTTTACCTTTAATTATGCCTATACTAGTCTTTAAATCATGGGGAATACCTCCCACCACCATATATTAAGTTTTTTGTTAATTTATTTCCATATTCTTCTACTAATTTTCTGAACTTATAAGTTACATCATCTTCATCTTAAGCCATTATCACCTGGTCGTCTGCAAATAGTAGACTAAACAATGTTTCATCACCTATTTTCACACCCATGCTTCTGCACTTTCTTTTCCATTCTTTTAGGGCTTTATCAATGTATATCTTAAACAGGGTTGGAGGTGTACAGCAGCCTTGCCATAATCCTTTATTTACTGGGAAGTTGTCTGATAGACATTTGGCCATAGGAAAGTGGGTGGGTATTTGTTAGTTCAACGGTAAATATTTTATCTTCCGTCAATCTATTTCCTTTCATGATGTTATCTACATCATGTGATTAACACTACCGACAACAAATTTCCACCGCCGTGTTGACATTTTTCGAAGTACCAGAGCGGAAAATTCGACACCCTCCCCCCCCCTCAATTTTCGAAAATAGCCTAAAATTCGATCGGCACCACATTCTTTAGCGTTCTTTGCTACTTACGTGGGAAAAAAATTGCAGCGGCTTATATAATTTTTTTAATTTGAAAATTGCTTTGACTTAAGAATTACTCATATTTTCGAAATATTGAACGTGACCTTATTTGGGAATATTTCTGTTAAATACAGAAGGAAAGAAGAAAAGAAAGAAATAATAATAATAAAAGAAAGAAAGGTGCCAAACCTGGAAACAAAAATGAGCAAAGAACAATGTATGCTACATAATATGGGGGCCAAGAAGTTATCTGAGACCATACAAAAAGATCAACCTGACACTTTAAAAACTTTTTTTTTGGCATGAAACAGAACCAGTCTCTACCAAAGAGTTTTGATTCTGAGATATTTTATTCTCGTCAGGTCTGGTTCTTATAATTTTGCAATAATGGTGTACAAGGTCACCACCCAAGTGCTATTCACTTCTACAGTTGGCTAAAGAGAATCATCTTGTGGAGCCAATGAAGTCACTGGTAATTTTTTTAGAGAGCTCAAATGCAAGTTAAATACATTGGAAAACAAGCATATTAAAGCTACCAATGAAATAAAATTTAGATTTTTCACAATACCAACAAAATCCCTTGATTTTTACAATGACAAAGAATAGTTTGAAAAAAAGTACAATTTCTGATGAAAACGCAAATAGCATCAATGTGATTGTTACGGAGAAATAATATATATTTATTACAACTTTTCACATCAGTATATCAGCGATACAACAATTTTATTCAATACTGATCTAATACTCCTTGGCGGCGCTCATCACTGTCAAAGGCTCACTTTTGAGTTTCTCTTCAGCCAGAGCTCGGAGATCAGGTACGTACCGCACTTGGTGCCCTTACAAAAATGTCAGCGCGTGCGGCCTGAATTCCATCGCAGCAATGGGCCCGCGACTTGTGTATCTGTACTTATTTGATTCCACGTTAATTCCAATTACGTCCAATTCATTACAGTATTTGTTGCGTACGTGGTTGGTTCATTACAATATAGCGGAGGATTCAATAGGTGGGGACCTCAAGCCACTTCAGCCTTCAGCAAATGAAGCTGCTGCCTCTGCGCTTGCGTGAGTTGTATGATGCTCCGCCAAGGCTGTCGATCTGCACTACGTTCGCCATCGTCCACTGACAGGCATTTCATTTGACACAGTTGGCTGGTACTAATACCTAGTGCACGGTCTTGCGAGGACCGATCCGATCTCTGTCAAGATGTAAGACATTAAGTGAACTGCAGACGCATTCATCAATACTCAACTCCAAGTAGAGTCGCTGTGAGACTTTATATGTTCAAGCAACGCGGTAAGATGGTTTTTAAGTGGTGTACAGTTGGATTTCGTCCATACAGAACTGATTAATGAGGATTTAGGGATTTTTTGCTAATTTCATAGCCTGTTCCCGAATCTCTTAACATTCTTCTGATAAAATTTAGAGAGAACTATAAAGAGTAAGAAACGTAAAAAAAACAAAAATTGTTGGCTTTTAGATGGGTATACAGCATATAAAGTCCGTAAAAATACAGGGGCTGCTATTTCGGAAGTTGCCCCATCTCTCATTTGCCAGTTGGTTCGCCGGTCCCTTTCCCGGCAGTGAAGGGCACAGGTCACTTCCCAGCTTTCAGAAGAACAGGCAGGCATCCGATTTGGCGGGTGACATTGCCCTGATTGCCGGCACTCAATAGAGCCTTTGCCCGTCCCCCACGTGATGTGCGTTGTTCTCTCAGTGCACGTAGGGGTGGTCTTTGAGGAACATAGGAAAAAGGTAAAATGGATAAGAAATATTTTGGAAGGAGAATCGGGAAAACAGCTGAGGGAATATAGTAGTAAAATTTTGGCAATGAAATAGAGAAAACAGGGAAGACAGAAAGGAAAATGAAAGATAGATCAATTTTAAATTGAGGGACAGCGGACAGTGGCCTCTGTTTGTAGCCTCTATTTATCGTCACGAGAGGGGGAGATCCAATGGCGCTCTTCTACAACAAAACTGGCAACACAGTGTATTATTATTTTTTATTAATTTTATTATTATTATTATTATTATTATTATTATTATAAGCGTTTTGGATATTTCTGACCACACCACGTTCTCTTCCAAGACAGATTAACGTGTGTAATTATGGGGATCAGCGTTTCGCCTGTATCCGTTGGTAAGACAAGGTAGCCTTGAAGTATGACGTATGAGGTGATAGGATGATGAGGGATAAGGAAACAATCGCAATTACAACCACAGTGGGAAACGAGCATGCGACCTCCACGGCATAGACAACGGCTGCAGCAACCGCCTGCTCCACGGGTCCGCTTATTATTATTATTATTATTATTATTATTATTATTATTATTATTATTATTATTATTATTATTATAGCGAGAGGCAAATGCATTATGCACATTCAGGGATAAAGATGGCCCATCTCTAGTGAGTGTCTTCTTGTACCCCGGTCTCTCTCCGCGGAAACCGTCGCTTGACATTACTTCATGGAAAGACAGCCGTGTAGCGGGGCTATAACTGCAAACTGCAGGATGGAGCCTATCTTTTTGCCTTTTGATGATGGAAGTGATGAATACTTGTATTATGCAGCAATCCTCACTTGATTTGAGCACATGTTCCACCATATTTGATGGGGGAGATATCAACGTCCAGGGCTTCGTTAAGTTATCTTCTCTGAGTGCTCCAAGCTACGCACATAAATATAATATGCATGGCATCACTTTGTATCCACAAAATACACGTTTTGGGTCAGCTGCTCTTTTAAATATAAACACATAAGGTGCATTATGCAGCCGTGTTATGAGAGCACTTGGGAGGGGCAGTAATTTACCTCCCCGTGGCTTCTTCTGAACCACGGTTCGTTACGTGGTATCATCGCGTAGGTCCACCTTCCGTTGGTGTTACTGTCCCACCTCACTTGCCATTCTGCCAGGAGAGACGTCCGTGCCCTCTTCTTTATGTTTTATTTTGTTCTTCGCAGAGGTCCGTCACGAAAGGAGTCAGCTTCACTTCGCCGTAGATCACTTTCTGTTCTATCACCAACAGGTCTATAGGCGGTACAATAGCCATTACCCGTACTGGGTTGTCAGAGACAGTGCTGACACTATTCTCAGCGCCAACCTCATTTGTATTTGCGTGTACTTTGATCTCACGCAAGCTTCATCTAGTTTATCAGCCCTCACAGGGTCCGCATACAACAGTTAGCAATGAACTGCACAAGAGATCATTCTACATTTTGCCTCTTTTGGATCTTCTACATTTGGCATTAATCTGGAGTGGTAGGAGCTTGTCTTCATTGTCCGCAGTCTTGTAAATGTCCGGACCAAAGCTGAGTCTGTGTTATTTGATCTCGACGTCTATGTTATTTGTCGTCTCCAGTTGAGTTCATCTCCTCCAGTCGAATATTTGGGGAATGGAATCCTCTCCGGTCCATAATTATCTCGTCTTCAGTTTTCTCCACAGCCATATGTTGGATTCTCCCGTCAAGCCATCATTTACTCTGAAAAGGGTTTCGTTCACATTTATCTCCAGCAAGTCGATATCGTTGCTATAATAAGATAATGAGAGTATTATTTGCGTAGCCTATAAGCTGGTTGTCAATTTGTAATAGACTATCGTACATGACGTTCCATTATAACGAACCCAACCTGGGGCATTGGGCACACCGCAAGCCACATCGTCTTCAATTGAGGAGTCCAAGTACCTTATTCTTCTCTTGTGAAGGTAATCTTCGATCATTGTAAGTACTCCGTGACTTTTTTGTCTACCAGTGCTTCAATGATGTCCCTCCATCCAGCAGAGTTGTTTCTTACATCTATGGCCACTAACGCACAGAATTCTTTCTTCTTCCTATCCTCGCGCTTGCCTGTATCTGTAATACTGATCATCTTCAGGATGGCATTTGTTGTCAAATGCCCCTTCCGGAAGCCGTATTGTCTCGGAGATAAATTTACCCCTATGTTCCACGAGTCTTGATGAAATTAGAGCCTCTTGTAGCTTGCTCATATTATCTAAAGGCAAAGCGATCTGAAAGGTGAAGTCTGATTAACGGCTTTATTGCCCTTTCGGGGAAGAATGAGTTTCTGTTTCTTCCATCGCGTGGAGATTGTTCCATTATTAAGGCAGCAGTTGAACACATAACTGGCATCCCGGGTACTGCTCTGTTCTGATTTTCAGCATCTCGTTTATGGATACCTGGGAATCCCGGCGCTTTTCAACATTGCGTGGTCGTCACGGCATTCCCCAGTTCTGCCAGTGTAAGCAGATCTTTTCCGTCAAAAGAAAAGCCGTTCGGTCTTAGCGATCCCTAGTAGGGGAGAGGTTGCCTATTAATTTCTTCACCTAGCATGGGTCGTCTAATCCAGGGCTCTTATGGCTGTACTAAATTTCTTTGTCACTATTTTGTACGCCATGCCTCAAGGATCGTTTTCGGCATCATCTTTAAGTTTCTTCCAACATCTAGTTTTGCTTCTTTTAATGTCCCTCTTGAGCAGTTTTCGAGACTTCTTGTACTGATTTGTCATGGCTCTCGTCGTTAATCTTCTCGCCTGATGCAATGATTGCAGAGCTCCGCAATTTCAGGGGGCCACCAGTAAACATGAAGCTTACTCTTAGAGCCTCTTGGTGTGGGCATCGAGGTATCGCACGCAGCTACCACTATATCATTGATTTCTCTATTTCTTCGTTCTTTCTCCGCACTTGTCGTCCAGCCAATGCTTAACAGCCTAGATTTCTCCAGAGACACTTTGGCCTTGTTCACTTTAAACCTATTTACATTCCAGGCTGTCCAGTCTTTGTTATATCTAGCCACGTCAGGAAGACACTCCTGTTTTGTAGTGACGGAAAATTGTATGTACAGATTAGTCGCTAAGTGACTCATTGACAGGTACTTCCCAATCCTTGACACTCCTACTCAGCTTTGTGAATCTTATGGTAATATCAAGAATTGAGGAAACATTCCCTCGTTGCAAGATATACTTGTCACCGTTATTAAGGATAACAAGGTGGTTTCTTGTGACAAATTAGCTAACAATGCCTATTCTCTTTTCTGATCTCGTCTCTCTTATTCTCGAGATTTACTATTGAAGTCACTCCCTATAAGACCTTCACCTTTCGCTAACATTAGGCTAGCTTCAAGCTCAACAATGTCCTTCTCAAATTTCTCGTTCCGGTCGCTTCGGGGGAAGTAACAGCTGTAAATCCTAACTCCATTTACTTCCACATAGGCAAACCTGAATTTCGTCCTCTTGAATACTTGTACCCTAAGCTTTTATTGGAGATAATTATGCCTGATCTCGAGTAATCTTGGTGGCTTCCTCAGGTGTATAGTATTCTTCGCTCACTTGTAGCAGGTCAGCTTTCCTCTTAGAGGCGACCTGAGTTAAGAGGTCTTGCACCTGCATACTTTTCCTAAAATTAATTTGTCAAATTTTGAGCGTTTTTGGTCTTGAGTTTTCTAGACGCCGTGATGAATGAGGCACATGAATGAGGCACATCTGTTATCTCCTAGAAGATGGCCATTGCTCAGGGTTCTCTCTATACAGAGGATGCAACGTAATTCGCCTCTGCAGTCCTTTACAATGTTACGACATTTATAGCACATTTTACTACTTATATCAGAACCCGAACAAATGGATAGTATATGTACGTACTCAAGGTACCTGAAGCATCTCATGAGCTGCCGCTTCTCCCTGATCCGACAATTAATCAACCCGATTTTGATTTTCTCCGTCTCCACCAGTTTTCGTGCTAACTCTGTGAGTGTCTCTTTGCGTGTCTAACTCTGTCGAGCTGTGAGGACGTATTTCCTCAGCGCTCCGAAGATCACCGCAGGTAGTTGTTAGTGAGCGGCGCAGCAGGTAGTTTTGTTCAGCAGTATGATCGTAAGTGAAGAGCGCCGCACACATCGCCAGTGTCTGCTTGGTATAAGCTAAGTATAACCACAATATTCGCTAATTTTATAATATATTGTTAATACGTTTAGGTTTTTCCTAAAAGTAATTTTCATAAAAGGAAGTTCGTTTTACCCCTAATTTTTCAACACCATGGCCACACGCAACGCTAAAGTGAATGACGCTGTCTC